TTAAGACTTTCTTTACTGGTTTTCAAATAAACAAGTTGAAACGTATTAGTCCGTTTCGCCGAATTATGGCCTTCAAACGACCAACGAAACCGTCAAACGCTGCCCGAATGTTGCTCTGCGGTACATTGGCCCATTCCCGGCAAAGCGCCTGCTCGACACTTTGGTATTTTTTTGTGCCAACCTTGCTTTCCAAAATACCCAGACGCAATAGTCCAACAGATAGGTATTCGGGATTTTGGTGGCCATTGTGCGGTGGAATTGAAGCGAGGAACCTCATTTTGTAACCATTCTTGGTTGGCGCGTGCTGAGTGCGATGGTGCTGAATTCAGTTAGAATGTCCAAGGTCTGCGGCCAAAATGTTTGCGTGCCCAAGGCTTTAATACATCCTCCAGAATATTTTCGCGATAATATTCGGCATTTTTTCTGATGCCACGGTCAATTAATACGATCTGAGAGCGACCACCGGCTGTTATGGCGGCAAGTAAACACTATCATCAATGCTTTCTCATCGGAGAAAAACAAATTCGGCAGTTCACCACTTTCGGCCAAGCGAAGCAACCCTTTAGCTCCTTTGAGTATATTTTCTTTCTGCTGGAGATTAACTTCTGGCACTTTTTGGAATTTCAATGGCTATACCCCGAGCTTATTTTTCAATATTTGTCGAATGGAATATTGCGATATGTTCAACTCACGAGCCATTTTCGGCCACTGCGACGCGGATTTTGATCAAGTCGCTTCTTTACTTTTCGAACCATTTCTGCTGATGTTGCAGTTTTCTTCCGTCCACTTCCTTGACGACAGGCTACGCTACCAGTATCACACTAACAAGCGATGGTACGAGACACAAAAGATTTATTCACATTTAAATGCTGGAGTGCTCTAACGATGGCCACTTGTGGTTTTCCAGCCAAATATAACGAGATCAAACTATTACGCTTGAATTTCATCACGAATAACTTTCATCACTGCTTTTGTACGCTTGTAAACAATATAATGAGCTGTCACTGGAATAATTTTAACAGCTGTCGGACGAGTGGCTTAGAAATGACAGCGGTCTGAAGTAGATTGCAGTTTTTTCATCTCACCCTGTAATGGGTGTATTGAGTACATTTTGGCAATGATAACTACTTAAAATCGTCATACCAACCAATTATTCTGATATAGGTCTGCCATATTTTTGCTGGGTACACTCACTTCGACTCTTCCTTCCCATTATAGATAAGATCCCACTTCGTATGGGCGTTTTATATTTTATCCTCTAATTATTTGGAATCAATTCCTTGTTAGCCTGGTATGTGTTATTGATTCCGTTGCTTCGGAAAAGTAATAAAATAGAAAATTAATTCCCAAAACCATTGCTCTTGACTTCCTCTACGATTTATGATAATTGAAAATAAGACATATAAAACGAATTAGATTACCAAAGAAACAATTCGAATATGTCTGATTATATTCCGAAGGGACCAACAACGGGTGGTTCCACTACCATTTTATCTCTTAACATGAATTTCTGTTCGAAGAGAAAAAAAATTAACAACAATTGGAAATTTCCAAGCTGGTTAGCCTTTAGTGTGCAAAAGTTATGGTCTGCTGGCCTTTTGGGTATATTGTCTGTATATTCATGTGTGTTGCTGTGTGATTGTCTAAACCATGAGTAGCAGTAGTAACTTTAGCGTCAATATGGCATCATGATCAATGGTCCCAGAGGCAGAGCAGACAAACCAACCATATACATGCATACATAGAAATGTGCATATGACCACTTATATGTAATACTTTGAATGTTTGGAGTCCTGCAGGAAAAAATCCAAACTTATAACACCATAAAATATTTAGGAAGGAGTTGACGGCCATGGATGTGGCCGCATTAAATGATTGTACACCGATTATGGTCCCATGGTGTAGAACTGTCCGCCATGTCTTTTGGGAAGCAAGTAAAAAAGATTCCTACAGCAAAAAAGTACAAATTAAAAGGTTTCATTGAAAAGTATTTTTTTATATTCTGGTTGCTGGTTAAAGACAACACCATGCCTGGTCCAGACATTAACCCGTTTCTGTTTGTTAAAATGTGTGGGACGGATAAATTGACATTATTACTGCAATTATTTCCTAATGAAAAAAGGGACCTTTTTCGTTGAGTAGAAAAAATAAAGGCAGAACGGTTAAATTGTTTTCTTTTTTTTTCTTCTTCTCCTTTTAAATCTCCCTTATGAAATAAATTACTGTTATTATAATTTTTTTCTTCATACAAAGAAGCTGGTCACGTTTGCAAAAAATAAAAACAAAGTGGGTTGTGTTTTTTACAACCTATCCCTCTGCAGTAGCTGTGGTAATTTGTAGCACCATAAAGTTGTCAACATCATAAAAACAACGTTGAGGAAAATCGTGATTACAACTAATGACGATTAATTGTGCTCCAAACGTTAAATGTTTTCCCTTTCTTACTTACAGCGGTTATGAAAATAGCCAAGTCCGTCATTTAGGGTTTCACCCTTTTAGAAGGTAAATTTGCTGAAGGTTTTCCTGTATCTGCATTTGGCAACAAGAAAAAAATTCTTACCAGTGATGGTAGTTCTTTTCCATACTTGTATGAAACAAGGGTTCGTAAAATTTGTTACAAAATGGGAAGAAGGTATTATGCTTTATAGACATGGCATTTTCCCCTCTCCATAGATTAATAATACAGGGTTCCCATTATATTTGGAGTGGTGCAACTATGTGTACATAGGTTTCGACGCCAATTGATTTAATCAATTTTGTTCTTCGAATATCTATATGTTTTCGCCATTGGTTAAGCGGTCATCTCAACGTTCACAGCCATTAATCCGTCTTTCTAAAGCAGCACTTTAAAAGATGTATGCATTGGAAGCAATATAGTTGTTGTTGTGGACAAAAAATTGATCACCACAAAAACAAACTTTGCTGTAAAAAAGACTTGCTAATAGAACTTGAGTCGAACTTGGAGGGTTTCTGGTATTTAATTCGCATACAGTATGAGATGAAAAAACTGCAACCAACTTCAGACTGCTGTAATTTCCAAACCACTCGTCCGACAACTATTAAAATCATTCCAGTGACAGCTCATTATATTGTTTACATTTTGGTGAGAAATTTCCAGAAAAAAAGTTATTCGTGATGGAATTCAAGCGTGATAGTGGGATTTCTTTATGTTTGGCTGGAAACCACAAGTGGCTATCGTTAGATCACTCCAGCATTTAAATGTGAATAAATCTTTCGCTCGTTACCGTGATACTGGTAGCGTAGCCCGACGTCAAGGAAGTGGGCGGAAGGAAACAGCAACATCAGCAGAAATGGTACGAAAAAAGCGACTTGATCGAAACCCGCGTCGCAGTGGCCGAAAAATGGTTCGTTAGCTGAACATATCGCAATATTCCATTCGGCAAATATTCAAAAATTAGCTCGGGGTAAAACCATTAAAATTCCACAAAGTGCAAGAACTTACACCGCAACAGAAAGAAAATAGACTCAAAAGAGCAAAAGGGCTGCTTCGCTTGGCCGAAAGTGGTGAACTGCCGAATTTGGTTTTCTCCGATGAGAAAACATTCGTTGTCTAGTAGTTTGTAAACAAACAAAACGATCGTGTTTACTTGCCAAAGAGGTCAGCTGAAAATGTGCCACTTTGGTTGGCCACCAGAACTCAAGCGCCGGTCATGGTGATGGTGTGGACCGCCATAACAGCCGATGGTCGCTCTCCGCTCGTATTAATCGACCGTGGCATTAGAATAAATGCCGAATATAATCGCGAAAATATTCTGGAGGGTGTATTAAAGCCTTGGTCACGCAAACATTTTGGCCGCAGACATTGGACATTCTAATAGGACTACCCACCATCGCACTCAGCAAGCGCCACCCAAGAATGGTTACAAAATGAGGTTCCTCACTTCATTTCCAGCGCACAATGGCTACCAAAATCTCTGGATACCAATTCGTTGCACCATTGTGTCTGAAGTATTTTGGAAAGCAAGGTTGGCACTAAAAATACCAAAGATACCACCTCAAGCAAGCGCTTCGCCGGGAATGGGCCAAAATACCGCCGAGCAACATTCGGGCAGCGCGTGACGGTTTAATTGGCCGTTTGAAGGCCATAATTCGTGCTAACGGTGACCAATGCGAATAAATCTAAACTTATTCTACAATTTGATGTTATTTCCGACATTTTTGCTTTCGTTCAATAAAATTAAAAAAACATTGCAAAAATTATGGCGTTTGACTTTGTTGCATTTTTTATCTCAGCCTGTACTTCCCTTAGATGTCACCAAAATACGTGTCGCCGCCGACAAATTCACAATTCACTTTTGCAGACGCATTTGAAACATTTTAAGGACCACATTTGATGTCGAATCACGTTTGCTTAGTACATGAAACAGTTACTCCAAATATGTCTGTATTACATAATCCCAAATATTGAATTATGTGTTGAAAAATACCTCCCAAATTGTGGCATTGCGTCTATGATTTTTATACACAATTTTTTCCCTAATAGTATATCCAAATAATTTTCTTACCTTGATCGTGGCATGAAACTGTCTTCCGTGCTGCCTTAATTTCAGTGACAAAGTTTACTTCACAGATGAATGAAAAAAGAACGACGTTGTATTTTGTTGACATTGCTATTGTTTAGTATGGCAGAGTGATGATACCCATCACTACCAACGAAGCCAGAAATGTGTAGGATAATGAAAATGTACGACAGAGGCAGCTACAACAACAAAAACAACAAACAAAAAATGCCTAATTAGCCATGCTTTTGTTACTAATGTTACCTGTTATTCAATTTGAGGTCCTGACAGCATCTCTAACCACCTCATATTTCGTTCTTTTTTTGTGACAATTCTGTCATCTCTACCGGTCCTCTTTGTTACACTTCCTTGCATCGCGAATAAAAAAGCACTTTATTTTAATTGTGTTTTTCTTCATCTTCTTGTGTTTTCTCTTTCTACCGTCATACTTATGCTTTTCTCCATTTCTTTTGTTTGCAGGTCCTGAAGATGTTTTACAATTCCAAGGAAATGAAAGTGTCGTGGATCATTTCAAACTGGTTACCAGAGATGGTGATTTTCTACTGATAGGAGCCAGGTAAGTCCATATTGCTTTACTTGCTCATGTTCTTTTCATTTTCATTCCGTTCCCTTTTTTCGTTTTAATTCATACATTTCTTATTTTCCGTTACCCTGTTAGCCAAGTAAACACAGGAAATCATGTTAAAAGCTTGTCATCAAACATTTCATACTTTTTCTTCGTTTCTTTTTTTTTCGAGTTTTTCTTTCTTTTGTATCACGATTACTCTTCACACAAAACCCTCAACTTATTTCCGTTTCCCTAAAATTTCTCCAGGCAGTACTGACCCCAAAATGTATACATTTGTTATGCAATTTCATTGTTACCATAACATTGAAGCACCTACAAGAATGTTTTATTTTTTTTTTTGCGGATGAATAAAATACATTAACAATTGTATGAAAGGAATAAAAAAAGAAATTAAGTAAAAGCACCTAACGAGTTCGACCGGACCGAAATTTTTATACCTTTTACCCTTCGAAACAAATGTATCACTCTATGACCACCTGATTTTTATGAATTTTGAATGTACCTTTGTTTTACTGTATACTGCTCCAAAAACAATGCATCGAAATATAAAAATTGAAAATCAAATAAGGAATAGTCTCCTCAATGATGATACTTAACGAATTTCGAAAATTTTGATTGGTCAGCTTTCTTTTTGCTTGTTTTATGGTTATTCTATAGTTTGATTTTATGCAAATCTGGATCTAATATTTGATCATTTCTTTTACATTGGTCGCAAACATTTTAGTTTGACTCGGTTATGTCCCCCTTCAATGTGTAGACGGACTGCATTTTTCTAGAACTTCTATTGTTGGTTTGTAAATTTTTCGATGTCATCATATATTGTACTATTTATAATTGCCTCCACGGATTTTTATATCCTCCACCATAGTATGGAGGGTATATTAAGTTTGTCATTCCGTTTGTAACACCTCAAAATATACGTTTTAGACCCCACAAGTATATATATTCCTGATCAGCATAAATTCTACTTCGATTTAGCGATGTCCGACCGTCTATCCGTCTGTGGAAATCACTCTATCTTCCGAACGAAATGAAGTAGATTGATAAAATTTTACTCAAATGTGGCACACAAAACAGTTATTCCAGAAAATGGGCCATGTAGGTCCACGTTTTGGTATAGTATTTGAATATTGTAATAACTTATGACAAAAGTTGCCTATGCAGGTCTACCTCGTCGTTTAGACCCTTATATGACGTTTACATTTGGTATTTTTAAAATTTTAAATTGTCAAATTCGTTCCAGATAGTGTAGGGTATTCAAAGTTCGGCCCGGACGAACTCACAGCTTTTTTACTTGTTTCAATTCATAAATGTTAATATTTTTAAGAGTTCGTTTCAATTTGACTCTATAAAGGGTGATTTTTAAAGCTATACCCTTTTTTGGCAATACTGGTTTAAACAGCTTACGTAGATTTCGTGTTTTGTTTTACTGTAAAAAGTCTTCAGTTTAGCCATGAATTGCCAGAAGAATAGCAAAAGCTTTCAATGCATCCGGAAAAAGTCACAGTTTGAAGCGGTTTATGGGCTGGTGGCATAATTGGCTCGTACTTCTTTTATAATGCTGTGAATCGCAAGGTAACAAGTAATGGTAAGCGCTACAGTGAGATGATTTTTTTTGCAGAAAATTCAAGAGTTTGACTTGCTTGACATTCAACAAAGCGGTGCCATTTCTTGTGGGGCTATGCTCATAAAGCCCATTTCTATACAGACCGCTTCAGGTGACGTCTTGGAAGACCAAATTGAAGTGTTTATTCGTGACATACCGACCGAAATATTGGAAAAAATATGCCAAAATAGGACTTAGGAAAGAACATTTGCATGAAATAATCCTGAAAGATTTAATGTATTTTTCTGAATTTATGTGTTTATGTGGTTGATTGTTTTTAAAGACTTTCCTCAAGCTATGTAATGTAGGGGTAATAATTCTTTTCCCAATAGTAAGTAATACTTGCTCCACGGGCAATATTCTCCATCATATAAATGACACGACTTTATATCAATTAATAATAGCGATTATCCACGGATACCAAAGGCATAACATATTGGCTCCACCTTTTAATCAATATATTAGTTGTTTTCCTTATCCTCCACTTGCTGATATATACTTCCCGAAATAAAACATTTATTTATATTGATTGATGCAATAACTTTTCCTTTTGGTTGCAAAAATGAAATGGCAAATTTACAATTAAGTTCTTCTATATAAACAGTACCTTTTTCTCGTACTGATGCTTCCTCTTATTACAATACTGGTTTTTAATCTCAAATTCTATTTCTTTTAAAGTTCACGACTCTCTCTTTCTCTGTTATGGGATTGTTGTTTTTTGCCAAGATTTTGTAATTCTCTCTTATATGCGAAAAACTATACTTTAAGTAGAGTTAGCAGCGGTCAGACCATCATACATGTTAGATGCAAACCGCCAGTGAATTTTATACCATTAATTTAATAAGTGGTTTAATAAGCAGGCAGGTCAAGTTCGAAGATGGTCCACAATATCGTATAGCCACCATATAGTTCAGCGTAAAACTACTATTGTGATTGAAATATTCTCGTACTGTCAAAGTTACATTTTTATAGCTTTAATTACAATTGACATTACAGTGGAGATCGGTTGGTGTTACTAGATGACTTTTTAAGTATATATTTGTACCGTATCTAGCCCACGTTAAAAGTCAAAATGCCATCATTTATTTATATTTTCTACAGACATTCATTTACAATAACATAAATTGACACCTTAGTTGGATTTAGCTGTTCTTGTCGGAGGACATGTTAATTGGGTCAGGAAATGTTAATCTCAAGAAATCGAAAGTCGATTTATGTATTCCTATCCATTCGTTTATTTAAGATGAAATACAGACAACGTTGCGTCCAAACTGCCAAAAATATTAGCAAGCATACTTTATATTATTTTAGTTAATTTATAATGCATTTAGATTTTTTTGTTGCAGTCTTTTACTGTTACTTCCGACCTAACAAATGTTTTTTTTTTTTTTGTTGTTGCCTTTCATTCTCAAGGTGATGAAAATATAACAAATACAAACAAACAAAACGACAAAACTTTTCTCATCAGCTCTTGTTGTTTGTTTCGCCTTGCCCAATAGCTGTAACATAAACAACACAAAAGTTTGCGTAGCTTTCGTACTTCATTGTTGCCATACCTTGGTGCAATTGTTGACATTTTGTTGATATTTACTATCGATGGTGAGGGGTAGAGTAGAATGGGCGTAGGGCTGACTAGTTAAAACAAAGCTCACTGTAAACATTCCAACAAAGTCACATTGCTTTGGTGCATAAACATGTAGGCGACAACGTTAGAAGGAAAAAAATATAAGGTCCTTTCTTCTTTTGGAGAAGACAAAGAAATTCACCCCGAACTAAAAAAATGTTCCGTAACTGATTCACAATTTATGTCATTTTCCACAGTTGTTGATGTTTTTTTTTTTTTTTAGAAATTGTTCGAATTTCTATGAAATGTAGATTTTAGAATACTTTTGTTTTTTTGTTCTTTTTTGTCATTGAGTTTGTTTTTCGTTTTCCATTTCATTTTTTCCTCAACTAGCTTATTTTGTTTTTGTTGTTAAGATGGTGTCGTGTTGTTTTAGCTGAATCTTGTTGACCACCGCTTGTGTTCGTTCACCCACTCTGTGATACCCTATGCTGTTCCTTGACACTTGCAACCATTTATTATAGTATCTTTGTTATGTTGCAAATAGATATTCCCAATGGTGGGTCGATGTGGGGTGGTGTGGCAACGGAATGTTTGCAAAAGGGCTGCGACTGCTGTTGCTTCCATTTCACAAAGAGCGCTTTATTAAATTTTCCATTTTCCACGAGGACTTTGCGTTATGTTTCTGTTTTCAAGATGACAAGTGAAATTTAATTTATTCAATATTTGTATAAAGAGCTTTTGCTGTCGTTGCATTTCAGTTTCATTTGTAATTGTACAACAATGACAGTTGCAGTGCCTGAACTGAAAAGTACATGTTGAAATTAGCTGTAGAAGTTCCCACAAAGAAATTTGAATACCAAAGTTTTGAGGGAAATAAGAATAAGTTAATTATGCTCCATTTTTTTTAATAATAAGTTGAATGAAAATCTTGTAAATTCTTATTACCAACATCTGTGTTGAGAAATTCCATTCTGATTTGAGGATTAACGAGAACTGGAGCGGAATTAATATGCTAAAACTTATGACAATTAATGGATGTAGGAGTGAGTGTGGATTTTGATTAATATAGATTTTGATAATAGGATGCAGAATGAAAGGCAATATTATTTGAATATTTGATTATTATTTTCTTCTGTGCAGAATGTCAATTCGAACGACATTGCTCTAGACTGAATAAAAAGATAACGCGACTAATTTTTTTGTCAATGTTTCATATTTTTGTTTCAAAACACTAAGTACATCACCGCTCTGAGAACAATTTTTAATTTCAGTCGATATAGAATCCTGGAAACCACATATGGTATACATTATTAGCAATGTCTTTTCTGCCTCAAATCAATCTAACATTGGCCATTTTTTGGGACATAAAAGTTTTTTTTTTTTTTTTTTTTTTTTTTTTTAATTGTTGATAGAACTTAGAAGAAGTTTATTAGTTTGAGACACGCTGTCAACCTACATTTTCTATCATTATAATAAATTGTTATTCATTTCTGAAATAAGCTAGTTGCTGCGATTAATAACTTCTTATAAAGCCATGCGTAACATGAATATTTTTAAGTTTTTTTTTTTTTCATTATCGTAATGTTATCGTTAATTTCTTTTCATATTCATAAAAAACTCAATAAAATCGTCTTTAGAAACAAAATTGAATTGGTACTTCAGAAGATAAATTCGACAAATATACATGTATTTTATTAGACTACTTATTTCGAGCGACATGTCCATAATGTAAGTGGTTGGTAATCCGATCTGTAATCAGAATTTCTGATGAATAATTCTAATGTTGGCAGATATACTAGAATGTGCGAAGTACGA